CGTCGGCGCCGGTGCGGGGCGAGCCGCTGCGGCTCTCCCGGCTGGGCCCCTGGCGGTGCGCGTGCCTCCGGTGGGGGTCGGCGGCCTTGGCCCGCTCCGCCTCGCCCTCCCAGAAGCCGGGCTGCTCCAGGCCCTCCCGGGGGTGATGGTCCGACTCGCGGCCGTAGGGCCCCTCCCGGCCCAGCTCGGCCTCCTGGCTGCCGGCCCAGGGCCTCCGTGCGTCCAGGGCCCCGGGGCCGCTGGGGTCCCGCGCGCGGTCGTGGTAGCGGGCCTGTTTCCTGAGGAAGTCCTCGGCGCGCTGCTGCCCGAGGCGCTGGTCCACCGTGGGCTCGGCCGCCCGGCTCTTGTTGGTGTTATTGTTGCGGTTCTCCTGGGGGTCGACCACCAGCGGCCGGTCCAGGTGCGTCTTCATGTCGGGGCGCAGGTGGCGCGCGTATGAGGCCTTCCAGCGCTCGTCGGGGTCCAGCTCGTTGTACAGCGCTTCGCGGCTGGCCAGCAGGTTCTGCTTGCGCATCTCGCTCGTGCGCTGTTCCCACACCGACTTGCTGGGCTTCTGATTCTTCTGCTGTTCCTTCCTGTGAGAAGGACAGGAGTCAGGATCCTGTCTGGAGCAGCCCCTGCGAGGCCCTTGGACGACGGGATAGATCTCTGTCTAGGCCAGCATCTCATTCTAAGGGTGCTCTAGCCTGGCTGGGGGACTCGGTTTAATGGGTATCCTTCACTTGGCCCATGTCCCTGGCGGCCTCTACACTCCTCTGCCAGCCGCAGCCCACCAATCCCTGGGCAAAACTGATGGTCCAAATATCTGACCCTCCCAGGGGTCCAGTCATAGTGGACAGTGTGATCTGGGACTCCAGAAAGCCCGCAGTGTCTGACACGACCCCTCAGTGCCGGTCATGGGTTGTTCTGGGGGGTCGCTGGGGCAGCTAGAGGGGCTTGGCGGGGTTTATTTAGTAATCCGACAAAGCAGCCAGCAAGGCCCCACTTTCCCAGGCATCTGCCATAATGGTTTTAAAGGGCTCCATTTACAGGCCTTCAACCTCCAATGATGTTCTCTTAAACTCAGTGCCCTGGCTATGGGTCTTTCTGGAATTTCCCCTTCCCCATTAGAAAGAAAGAGGGGCTCACCATCCCCTAGGGAGCCTTCTAGTGCCCTGGTCCACCAAGCAGTGATGTCAGTGGGCCCTCTCCCATCTGATCCATCAGCAAACCCTGCCAGTTCCTCCATCACCATCTGCCCAGAGCTGCCCACAGCCACCACTTCCTCTTGCCCTCAGGTCATCTCAGTCCCGTGGACTCCTCCACCTGTAAATCCCCTACACACCTTGTTCCATCTACGGCCGCTAGAGGGTGCCGGTGAGCAAGCCAGATACAGTCACCACCTTCTGCTCAGAACCTTCCACTTTATTAGTGGGACAAGGCCAAGTCCTCCCTGAAGGCCCCACCTCTCACTTCTTGCTCACTCCCTTAGGCCACTCTGCCATCTTCCTCTTTGAAATGCTGTGCCCTCTGACAGGGATGCCCAGAACCCCCTGGCTCCTCCTGCCTTCCTTCAGTCCCTGACCCCTCTCCACCTCTACTCTTAACTTTCTCTGTATCTCTGATAACTTCTAACACACTACACAACTTACCTGTTCCTCTCGTTCCCTGGTCATCTCCTTAACCAGCACATCAGCTACACACAACGATGACTTCACCCCCCGCCCCCAGTCAGTACTGTGTCCCTGCTAGTTACAACCACTGGAGACTCTTATCGTCAGTGGACACTGGTTCAGCCCCCAGCTTATGGTGACCACATGAACAGCTGGAGGAAACTTACCTGCCCCATCCCCACAATCCACTGTGAACCACAGTCACCCTGAATGTGTTTCCTAACGAGTTTTGGAAATGGCTCAGGCTGGTATACAGTAGATGGTTACAAGAGTCCCTTGCCATTGTGTTAATTCCTCCTTGCAGTTCTTACAGAGTAGAACTGCCCACAGGGACTCTACATGCCCCAAATCTCTAGAGACTAGATTGCCAGGTCTTATTTCCTATGGACCTGCTGGGTCGGAAATGCAGACTTTGGCTCGCAGATGAGCGTTTAACCACTGCACCACCAGGGCCCCTTAAACCCACTGCTGCCGAGCTGATTCTGACTCTTACCAACCTTCCCTGGGGTTTCTGAGGCTGTAAATCTTTATAAGAGGTGATTGAGACGGATTGTTTTCCCCTAAAGTGGCTAGTGGACTTGAACTCCCTACCTTTTGGTTAGCAGCCAGATATATTACAGGCTGTGCTACCAGGGCTCCATCAGAAAAACCTCACAGCCACTGAGTTGGTTCTGACTCAAAGTAGCCTGCCGTTTGGTTTCTGAGGCTGTAAATCTTGGTGGGAGGAGATCGCCTGTCTTTCTCTGTGGGAGCTGCTGGTGGACTGAAATTGTGGAAGGTCTGCTGTGTTTTGGTGAGCAGGGCGGCACGCTGTGGACGATGCCACCATAGCTCCTTCTCTCTGAGCATTGACTCAGAGCTGCCCCCCCAGTGGGCTTCCAAGGCCGTAAACTGCATGGGAGGAGACCGTCCATCTTTGTATTTGAACTACCAGAGAGGCATGACCTTTGGGTTGGCCACACAAATCCCTATGCACTAGGCCACCAGAGCTCTCTATAGCCCTTTGTTGTTGTGTTATGAACCACTGGGTCAGAACAATTTATAGCTGACCCTCCAGAGGGTTTGCAGAGGCTGTAAACCACACAGATGTCCTAACTTTATCCCATGGGACAGCTAGTGGATTTGAACCATTTGCCTTTGGGTTGGCAGCCTGACTCCTTACCCGTGAGGCCCCCCAGAACTCTCTCTAGCTCTTTTAAAGGCGGGGAGGTAGAGATAACTGTTCCTATAGCTCAGCCTTGTTGGGAACCCCACCCCCTGCATCCCAGAATCCTTGACTGAGACGAGAGGTGGAGGGTGGGCAGCATCCTGGGGCTGGGCACTTACACAGCTATGGACATGTTGGCCGCGGACAGAGGACTCACTTCTGCCACCTCCTTGGCTTTCTGGAGGGCAAGTTTTTGGTTGGCTGCCTCCTCTTCTTCTTGTTCATCCTAAAACAAACACAGGATCCTTCTTGATAAAAGGAGAACCAGGCCTGGGGCCTCCACTACTGCTGAGAGGAGGCAACTTCAGACATATTTAAAAAGAGGCTTGGCTGCATGTCAACTAGTCAGGGAGAACGGACGTGGGTGCTGGGAAAGCGGCTCACCCCTTCAGGGTAGGTGCACTGCTGGCCCCACCTCAGCACACAGGTAAAAGGAAATCACAAGGGAAGAGTAGCTGTCCCCATCCACTGGAGCTGCTGTCCTATACCCCGGCCCAACAAGCTAGATAGCAATACACAGAATTCCTCTTCACCCCACTTTCTGGGCTCTCTGAACCAAGACTTTGAAAAGAAACGCCTACTAGCCCCTTCATGCAGCGAAGCCTGGTGACCCTGGCCCACGCCATGCACTGTCGACAGCCCCCAGAGGAGAAAAGAGGAGAGGAACGGAAACTCCACAGCCCCATCCTGGTTGGGTTCAGAGAGGAGGACAACGGGGGAAGAGGTTCCCCAGATACATACAGAAAAAGATGTTATTTTGGACTTTTAATCCATCTTCAGCCTTCATGCAGGGCCTCATTCGCAAAACAGAAAGGCCAACAAAGAAAAAAGCAAAGAAAAAGAAACGAGAAAGAAAACAGACAGAAAGGACCCCACCCCTAAGAAAGCTCATGCGGTCCCGGGCCACCCGTCTCACCCTCCTCGGGATGCCAGCTCTGGGGGGGCTGGAAGCAACCTTACCACCTCGGAAATGGGCAGATCAGGGCACCGTGCCAGTGACCACGTGGAGGTGGGATCCCGCCAGCCACTTCCTCCCACAGGCCTTTCCCCCCATTCCCGGGGCTTCACAGAGCTGCTCCCTGGAACTCCTGACCTTAGAGATTCTTGCAGTGCAGATTCCTGGGCCTCCCAGAACCAGGCTGAGCCCTGGAACCTGCATTTCCAACCCCCAGGCAAATATGAAACACGAGTTGAAGCACTGCTGCCCAGGATTATGAGCACAAGTTCAGATTCAGACGACCTGGGTTCGAATCCCAGTTCTACCACTTTCTAGCTATCTAACCTGAAGCAAGTCACTTATTCTCTCTGTGCCTCAAACATTTCTCCTACGATTTCAATTCTCTGTTCCTTCTCTACTTTAGCCCCTATAATCATGTAGCAGGCCGTGCATTTTTAAAAGCAAATTAACCCTGTTTCTTGCCAGTCTCTCACACGTGACTATCAGGCCCCACAGGGGCACGGAATTCTGGCTTGTTTTGTTCACTGCTTTATGTCCGGGGTACCTAGACCAGTGCCTGGAATACAGTAGGTGCTCAATAAATGCTTGTCAAATGAGCAACTATAAAACAGGGCTCAGATAACTGGGGTCTCTGAGGATTTGCAGGGTGTCTGGCACACACTAAATATTCAAGAAGTTCATGTAGAAAGATGAAAGAAGGAATATGCTCTTGGGGACACGCCCGCACCTCACAGAGGGACGAGAATTGACCTTCATCACTCCTTATCACCTCACGCTCTGCCTCCGTCCACACCAGCCCCGAGGACCAGCTCTGGGATGCGGACCAGCCCTGGGAGACCCCCGTGGTGGCCAGGTCAGCAGCCCTGAACCTCAGGAGGTGGAGACTTCCGCTTCCCCTGCTCGGAGCTGGGCCGGGAAATGCGCTCCCTCCCGCCAGGCCAACAGATGGTGGGCTGGCAGCCGTCTGCTCAGCTCAGTTCAGTTCCATGAACGTGTCCTGAACAACTTGAAGCAGGCCGAGGAGGAGCTGAAGGAAGCTGCGGGTTGTACCCGCTCTCCTGGTGTTCTGGGGGTACAGGGAGAGGCTCAGGTTGGGCCATGGCTGGCTGCACCCACCATACCACTGCCAAGGGACGCTCCTTCCTCTGGGCTGAGGGGCCGGTGGTCCTGGGCACACGGGCCCCTGCTCACCTCCTTGCCCTCATGCCTCTATGCAGTGCACAGTCCACACACCCACGCCCAGCAGCCACGCTCAGGGGCTAGCCGGTGCTCTGGAAAGCAGAGCGCGCCTCCTGAGTCCCTCCAAGGTGGCCCTGATTCCCTGGGAGTCCCAGGATGACAGAAAGAGGTACCAGGTTCCATGTTTCGGATCATGAACACAAACCGGTCTTGCTGACCCCAACTTTGCAAATTCTCTCTGGCTTTGCCTCCTCTGCTGTATTCTTTTTTGAGGGTTCCCTTCTCTACTCTGGAGGTTCCCAGCCATGCGGGCAGCTGTAGGCAGGTCAGTTAACCTCTCTGGGCCTCACTTTCCCCATGTGGCAGCCCTCTGCTCAGCTAGGCTCGGTCCTATGAACGTGTCCTGAACACCTTCAAAGTGAGAATGACAGTAGTCATCCAGGGACATAAGAAGAGTAAAATTTTCTACTGCTGCTATTACATGTTTTTGTTTTGTTTTGGTATTTGTTGTTGTTGTTGTGTACCATCAAATCAGATTCAACTGGTACAGGAGGAGAATGCCCCTCCTTTTCCAGCAGAGCATCCGGTGGATTCGAACCATGTGCCTTCAGGATTGCAGCGTGCTATTAACATTTTTAAAAAATAAATCACTACTTTCTCAGCTGAGGCTTATATGAAAGGTGGCTGCATACATGGGTAGAGCATTTGGGATCTGGAGTCTGGCTTCAAATCCTGGTCCTCCTTTGCCAGATTTCACTCAGGCCCAACTCGTAGCGAGTGACTGACAAAGGCTGCCTTTATTGAGCACTTACTGTGTACCAAGCATGATGCTGGGCACGCTACACGCACAGGATGCTACTGTCAGGGGAGGTGATCTGGCCTCTCTTGGCCTCAGTTTCCCCCTCTGCAAATGGGTGCTGGCAGCACTCTTTGGGTGGTCTATGTCATACAGTGGGACAATGCTTGGTACCAGACCATCATGTCTCCACTGCTACAGCTCACGGGTGAAGTCTGGGGGCTTTCCACCTGCCAACCCCATGGGGACATAATTCACGCCTGAGCCCTGGGTAGGCTGTTTGCCACTTGTCCTCAGTCCCCTTCATCTCTCAGGAGGCTGATCTGTGTGGATATTTGTAGCCTTGTGTGGGGACCCCAGCAGCAGGCCAGTGGGAGAGGGACTTGGGGCACAGGCTGAGTTCTGAGGCCCCAGTGGCTGTGGCCGGGTCCCCTTCCTCCAGCTCTTGCCGGGGGTCCTGAACATCATCCCCTCATGGACTTTATAGGCCAGGGACGGTGACAGCATCTCAGTGTTAGATGGGGGGCAGTGCCACCCTTTGCCAGTCCCCCTGACCCTGTTCAACTCTGTAAAAGGACCCTTCAGTTGGCTCTGGTGGGCGGGCCATCTGCTTCCTGCAGACAGGAGGCCCTGTCCCCCCACTCTCCCTCTGCAGGAGTTATCTGGTTTCGGGAGGGAGGTGCCTTCTCCCTGCCTGGTGTGTCAGGGCAGAAGCCCGGCCTGCCCTGTCCTGATCTGCCATGAGCAGGTGGTAACTTTGCCAGGGATGCACCTCCCACCCCCCCTCCACCTTGGTTAGCTCCTGCGCGTTGGCCAGGTTGTCCACGGCGATGGCCAAGAACACATTCAGGAGCGTGTCTGGGCGCTGGAGTTAGGGAAAGCAAGACTGCAGGAGCTGTGGTTTTGGGCCCCAGTAATCCAGGACGCCCCCTACCCCTCCCTCGTGCCCCAGTGTGCTCCCACAGGGCCCAGGCCACCCCTCCTCCACCCCCCAGCCCAAGGATACAGTTCCCGAAGAGCGTGAGCACGATGAAGTAGATGGAGTACATCATGCCGCCCTGCACGCCCCCGTGGGACTTGATGCCGTCATACATGACCTCGTTCCAGTCCTCGCCCGTCAGGATCTGAAAGGCGAGGGAGAGACACACAGCCAACCCCCCCTCAGCCGCGGGCCCCGCAGAGACCCCGCTGCTGGGCTGAAAGTGCAGCCCGCCAGGCCGGAGCCCAGGCACTGCCTGGGCACAGAGTGGGGTCCTGGTGTCAATGCCTTTTCTCCTCAGGGACCTGAGGTTTGGAATTTTACTGCCCCCCACCATGGACAACTGGGTGAAGTCCCTCTGGAGGCCCCTGGGAGGCAGCAGAGAGCAGACACTGTAAAGTCACGTCGCACAGAGGCAAGGGAGCTGGGGATTGTGCACACACACCAAAGGCTGGTCCTGGGTGTGGGACGCTCACGGGCACTCTAGACTGCTGGGCCTGGGGGCGCAGAGTGGGTGCCAGTGACCAGTGGACACCACGGGCAAAGGGCGTAGGCTAAAAAAGTTGGGTTAAGGGGACACAGGTGGAATATCCCACAAAGGCTCTTACAAAAAAATCCAACTTCTCTCCTAGGCAATATTCCCATCAGGATAAAGGAACTGTGAAAAGGGCTCTTTGAACTTAAAGCTGCTGGAGCGAAGTTCTCCTTCTGATACTCTTGACAGTTAGGGCTAGAACATTCTGGGTGGTTGGGGTGGTTGCCCTGTGCATTTCAGGGCAACATGTCTGGCTTCTTCCTATTAGATCCCTTTCTCTGGCTTCTTCCTGGCACTTCTTCCCCCGCTGGGACAACCAAAAATGTCTCTAGACATTGCCAATGTCCCCTGATGGGTGAGAAGCCCTGGGCTGAAGGAACACGGGTGAGTGACCTCTATTAGCACCATGAACACCAACATGGAAAGTAATTTCAGCAGCCAGGTGAGGGCTTATAATTCCATGGATGGCGTCTTCTCCACCTTCCGGTCACCCATAAGCCAAAAGCAAGGCTGGAGAAGTCACCTTTCCCCCATAATTCTTGTCCCCAAATGGAAATAAGACACTAGGAAAGCTTCTAGTGATGATCTTCTAGAGATCTTGGCTTGGTCAGTCCCATACCTCTGGGCATCATGTCCTGGATGGACACAGAAGTTATCAAGGGGGCTGCCCGGGGTGTCCCTTGCCTTGGAAAATAGGATCTGGTCTTCTTCAGGTTTGGGGCGAAAGGAAGATCAAGCAGAGCAGTGGCATTCGGGGGTGGGGGGTGTACTCTCATTTTTGACACTCAGAGGTACCTGTCCTTGGGGGCGGGGTGAAGGCCGTACCTGAAACACTGTCATTATTGCTGCTGGGAAAGTGTCAAAGTTGGTAGGGGGCGTTCCTTCATCGAAATTAAACCTGTGGAGAGGATAGATATTTCATGGGGGTCTGGCTCGGCACCCCCTACGGGGACATGCTGGGTGGACACGTGGGCCATGAGGGGAACAAAGGAGAAGGGTGTGGGTCTCCAGAGGGAATGAGTGAGGGAAGAGGGGTGGGAGCTGTGGGCTGAGGACGTAGAAAGCGGAGATTCACTTACTGGCCACCGAAGAGTTGCATTCCCAGAAGGGCAAAGACGACGATAAAGAGGAAAAGGAGGAACAAGAGACTGATGATGGATTTCATGGAGTTGAGAAGAGAGACGACCAGGTTCCTGAGAGACGCCCAATACCTGCCAACAGCCGGGGATCAGGCCGGGCCAAGGAAGCGGCACCCCAGGGGTCACCCACAGGCACGCCTGCCGCCCCAGAGGACCACTCCCGACCCAGCCCCTGCCAGCGACCAGGACCGCTCAAAGACTTACTTTGTGACTTTGAAAATACGCAATAACCTGAGAGCTCGTAACACACTGATTCCAAAGGAGGTGCCAGGTTTTATGACGGCCCAGATGACCTCGAAGATGCTCCCAATGATGACCTGAACAGAGGACCCGTCTCACAACCAGGGACAGTGTCCGTCCCCCCAACCCCAGTGAACATCTGGAGCCCGAGTCACACAAGAACCCAGCCTGCCTCCCACTTCCAAAGGGAGGCAGGGTGAGGGCCTCAGGCCCCTTCATTCCTTCCTCGTTTTACTTCTTAGGACACCACACACACTGAAAAACTCCTGGTACATAAACGGCAAAGGAAATGCCCATGGAATTACACTTAGGTCAAGAAACTGGGCATATTACTACTCTTAAAACCCCCAGGGACCCCCCTACCCAAGACATGAAACTCTAGATAAAATTCTCAGACAGACCTATCCTGACTTTCTTAGTGACCACTTCTTTGTCTTTTAAAATTCACTGAGGTGCAACTCATGTAACATAACATTTACAAGGGCCCAATTCCATTTAGGACGTTCACAACATCGTGCAATTGTCATCATCTCTACCTAATTCCAGAACATTCTCATCAGCTCAAGAAGTAAACCCACATTCATTCAGCAGTCATTTTGACCCCTTCTCCTCCAGTCTCTCACAACCACTGCTCTGTTTTTGGTCTCTATGGATTTCCTGAGTTTGCATACATTGCTTTCAAGGTCCTTGCCTTTTTTTTTTCCTTCTTAAATTTTTATTTTATTATTTTTTTGTGTGTGTACTGTCAAATCGGATCTGACTGGTATAGGGGGAGATTGCCCCTCCTTCTCCAGCAGAGCATCTGGTGGATTCAAACCATGTACTTCTGGGATTGTAGTGCAGCTTCTTGCCACTAGGCCACCAGAGCTCCCCTAAGGTCCTTGCCTTTTTAAAGTAGCTCAGTTTGCATCCTGCAAACCTGTAGTTTGATGCCCATTTGAATCTCACATGACTTGGGGACTCATTTGTCTCATGCTGTATGGATTCATTTTATCAGTATCTTCTCCTTTTGCTCAGTATTAATGTAAGTGAGAGTTACTTGTGCTTCTGGGTGTCAGCAATGCTGGATCGCTTGGGTTGCTGCATTAATATTCATTACACTGGACATGCCACAACTTCTTTATTTGCTCAGACCATTCTTACATGTGTCTACTGGTGTAAGGTCAAGGATTTATTGCTTAAAACGGCTTCCTAGCCATTGATTAACCCTGGCTTTGCCCCGTGGATGGGTGGGCACATGGAAATAGGGCGTGTTAGCTATCTACAAAGGGACTGGCTAGTCCAGTCATTAAATTGAGCAGATTCAGCAACAGAAATTGGGAATCTCAAAACCAGTAAGGAAGAGGGAGCATGTGCCCTGCGGGGCCAGAGATTCCTGTGCTGGTGAGAAGGGGCCTATAAGAGCAGCAGCATCTGCTGCAGAAGAGAACTAGAGACCCAGTGCAAGACAGGACTGACCTTGGGACTGCTGCCCCAGGGAACCAAGGCTAGGAACCTTCACTCAAGCTTGCTAGAGGACTGAGGGAGGACACCACAACTGGCTGGACTAAGGGAACTTTGTGACACTGACCTGAGCCGTGAAGGTGAAGGTCAAAGAGCCTGTGACCATACTTGAGAAACTGCCTGGATTGAGAAACTGACTGAGGGATTGTATCCTGCTGTCAATCTGAATGATATTCATTTAACTTCCCTAATAAATCCTATAATTGAGAGTATGGTTCTAAACAACAATAACAACGACAATGACAACGAGAGAGCTACGTTGGCCTAGTGGAAAGGAAGTTATGCTACCAAGCCAAAGGTGGGTGATTTTCATCTGCGGCCCTCGGCCAGGTTCAAATTGTTTTCCTGTCAAACATTCTTCTAGGTGGGATAGCACTGGTCTGTGCGTTGCTGTACAGAGGTAACTCATGGTTGCTGTGATGCTGAAGACTGTGACAGTGATGTGCCAATCGTGGTAATGGGTACCCTTGGTGGACAGTGTTGGCTAGAGCTTTCCGACTAAAATAAGCCTGGAAGCAGGAATGACATCCACTTCCGAAATGGCTTGCCTCCGGAAACTCTATGTATGAACAGTGCTCAGGTCGTTCGTTCATAGGGTCGCTATGAGTCGTCTACGACTTGATGGCACTAAACAACAACAACAACATGTTCTATAGTCATTGCAATAGATTTTGTAGTCATTGCAACAGATTTTGGACCCAGAAGAACAGTAAGATTAGTGTTGGAATTGGTAGAAGTCAGTGTCTAGGGGACCATGTCTGGCCTTAAAGGAATTAGTTTTGTATTGTGGATGTTGTTGATGGGGACAGTTACCCTTTGTGGAGTTTGTAAAAGTCAGATAGAGCTGTCTCCATGCTGTCATCATTCTTTTTGTAACTGGACACCAGAGTGACAGTTTCTCTAGGCTGAATCCCTAGTAAAGGAACCACTGGACCACTCCTAATGGTTTTTCAGAGGTTCTAGAAATAACTTTCCTGTTCAGCAGTTGTTGAGACCTCTAGGCACTTTATGCTTTCACAAATGTTTAGAAGTATCTTCTTATTTTACCTGCACTTAGCTAAGTCTTGGTGTCTGGGGTGACCCTTCCTTTCTCCGTTTTGAGGTCCCCAGCTAGTGTCCAACCATTCTAGGCAAGAGTTGGAGAAATGAGCTCCTTGAACACCAGAGACTTACCCCACAGTCAAAGCAGTTGAAAGAGGAGTGGAAGTAAGGCCGCGTCCCGAGCCCGTACATTTTTATAAACATTTCGGACATAAAGAGTCCTAAGAAAATGAATTCTGCATAGTCTAGAGAGAAGAGGGAAGAAATGGAGAGGTTAGGGATGGTGGCCCTCCAAGTGGCTCTCACTGGCAGTCCTGTCCCTTCCCTGGTCTGTATTGGTCTTTGTAAAAGATTGTGCAAAGATTTTTTTTTTCTTCCCAAGAACCTTAATTTACCCATTTTTGAAAGAAAGGAGTAAAAAAATTCTTCCTATTCTCCAACCAACCAGCTCCAGGCTAATCTTAAAAGAAGTATGAGACATTCATTCCAAGTTTGATCTTGTAGCTCTTGTCCTAGTTTGAGGAGAAGGGTCAGATGCAGCTTATAGTCAAGGATTTTTGAGTTAACTTGTAGATTCTTTGGTGCTTATTGAATTATTAAAATTAACTAGTCAGCTGTGTTAACAGGGGCTATGCATAGCCTCTTGATTCCAGGGTGCCATGATCCAAGAATTATGATTAATCTACTTTTCCTATACCTGCCCTCCAAAGGAAAAAAAGAAACAGAAATCATAGCGGTGTCCTAGTTCTTCTCCTGAAGTAGGGAGTTAACAGGAGCACCACAAGCAACTGATCTAGGGCACAGCCTTTGTTCTGATTTGGAAAACCTATATGAAGTCTCCTGGAAATATTTTTTTTTCTTGTTTAGTGTCTAAAAGTCTTGAGCAAGACGGAGTTTTTGTTCTCTGTTGAGAATGCAAAGAGGCACAAATTCTTCAGGGAGAGGAAGTAGCTGTTGTTAGGTGCCATCAAGTGAACTACACCTCACAGTGACCGTATGCACCATAGCTCTGAACCCTGCTCTATCCTGAACCAACCAGTGGGCTTAGTCTCAGGTGTCATATCTCAGGTCTGCTAGTCTGATCTAAGTGTGCTCTATCATGGAGAGGTAACACGTGGTTATTCATTTGCTCCAGCGAATAAATGAATAGCATGAAATCCTTTTCTGAGAGAGTCTTCTTGATGGGGTGAGAATACTTGGAGTCAGGAAGGGTAGAATGAGAAGCAGGAATAAAGAGAGCCTTCAAAGGAAAGAAAGTATACAAAAAGGAGACAGAGAATATAACAATTTTAGGAATTTGACAATTTTGGATACATACTTAACCATGTTTGCTTGTCAAGGACATTTGTTATATCATACTTTTGAAAACGGATTTGAAAAGACTGTCAAAGCTCTTCACACTCATTCCTGATCGAAACTTCTTCTAATTTGCAGGACTCTGGGGAGCTTCCAGCATATAAGTAGAACTCTAGGGTCTCCAGGACTCAGTCATCTCAGTAGGTCAAAACATTTGGAAAAGGCGAAAATATCAGTGAAGGAAATCTGTCCGCAATTTCTAGTACATTCCAAGACACACTAGAATCAACTCAGGGAGGACTTGACAGCTTCTGAAATGCTCATCTTGATCCCTGGCTATCATGGAAATGGGATAGATGGTAATATACAAGACCCGAGTGAATGACTCATCCACGGCATTGGAGGCTCTGGAAGAACGTTAGGCCCATCGTGACCTATTTTCACCAGCACAAATAAGGGAACTGAAACCCAGAGAAGCCACAAAACCTCAACAGTTCCAAGATACACAGTCTATTAATGATGTTAACACAGATAAAACTGGGATTTTGGAGATAACATACTTTAAGCATGCTCTCAGGAGGGCTCTATCCTTGGAAAAGGACATCATGTTTGGAAAAATAGAGGGTCAGCAAAGGAGAAGACCCTCAATGAGAAGGAAAGACAAGGTGACTGTAATAATGGGCTTAAACACAGTGGAAATAATGAGACCGGTACAGGGTGAGTCAAAGTTCTGTTTTGTTGTACATAGGATCTCTATGATTTGGAATTGACTTGACAACACCCAACAATAACAAAACTGGGGTAGATTTTATAATTGGTACCAAATCCTAATTTAGCTGGCAATTTTGTTTTACTTTCTCAGCAACACATAAAGAGTCTTCTAATTAGAGATCTTTTTGAGCAATGAATGATGGAAATAACTTGTCCAAGGTCACATGGAGAGTTAAGGACAGAGGAGATATGCAGAACCCATGTCACCTGTCTCCCAGGACAAGGATCAAGTCCAGGACCTCAAATAGGACTTGGACTCTGGAGCCTGACTTGCTGGGTTTTAAATCCTGACTTTGTCACTTACTAGCTAGGTGATGCTGGTCAACTTAACATCACCTCTTTGTGTCTCAGTTTTCTCAACTGAATAATGGGAACCATTAAAGGTTCTTTACAGGCCACAGGCCCAAAGTAGGTAGTCCCAGCCTGCCGTTGCTGAACCAGGACAGCCACTGCAAAGTGATTAGTGGGAAGAATATGAGCGATTAAAAATAGACTATCAGAGGAGGTTAAGACAAGAAGTAAAGAGTCCTCATTTATGAGAGACTCCGGAGGGACCAAATACAATTACCAAGGTTGGAACTAGGTCAGGGCTCTGGGAAAGAGAACCGGCCCCCTGGGCATGTCCTGGAGGTCAGTCAACTTGACTGGGAACAATAAGGGTTACAAAGAGACAACGACCTAGACTAGGCTTCTAGGCCTCTCCATTCTGAAGACTCAACTATCTTTGATGGTGGACCAGAAGCAACTCTGAACCAGATCAAAAAGGCAGGAAATGGACAGACTCAAATAAGACAGGCCAGTAGATGCAGGAGAACAAAACATTAGCAGGCAAAAGACTGTGCACATTGCTTTCTCGGCATAAGTAACCCAGAGCCATGGTAGTATCCTCCTCATTGCCCCAACACTACTTCTGCTGATTACCTAGAGCTCTTTATTTAAAAAAAATCTTATGTTTCTTCATCTTTTTTTTCCATATTAATAGAATTTTATTACAAGAATCAGGTCCATTTTTTAATCAGATGCATATGATTTGACCGGCCTCATTTCTGTAGCCGGAAAACTCCTAGCTGTCACTCATCAGCCTGCTGGACAGTTCCTTTTTCAGAGACATAGAGACCATCCAAAATTTTTCAGATTTCCTTGTTTTTAACTGTTGTGGCTTGCTGAATCAAAGCAGCTGAATTTGATACAAGCTCAATGTCATTTCCTTCAAGAATTAACTCATCTTTCTGGGCGTGAGATACCGAACAAGCAACACTGGGTCTCATTCGAACTCTCCGAATGTGTTTTTCACCCAAGAAGTTTTGCATTTCAACCAGAGATCCACTCTCTTGAATCACAACGTTGATGGGGAAATGAGCATACACAGACCTCATCTTGTAACGAAAGCCCAGTGTAACACCCTTGATCATGGTCTGTACGTGGCTACAGATGGTGCGAACAGTAGCCAGTTCCTTCCTGTTTCCCCACCATTTGTCAACACGAAGCCTCTTCTTTTTCTTTCTGAGGAGACTGAGCTCTACATTGATGTGATTGAAGTCCCTCCGCAAGGTTCCCCGCCGGCCTTTCACGATAACTGTGCGGCCCTTCAGAGTAATGTCCACATTCTCTGGAATGTCGACAGTCTGGTTGCTGAGAATGGTCTTCATTCTCAACAGTTAATGTGGCAAAGAGCCTGTTTCTTCATTTTTTACCACTTCCAACCCTTATTTGACCCACTTTTGACTCCATTTCATGCTAATCTGGGGAATCCTGGAATAGACCCAGAGGGCAATGTTTTTGGACGGAGTGTTGGTATCCATTGAGGGAACACAATACTTTCACACTTGTTAATAAGAGATAAGGCAGTTAAAAAGCACAGGTGAGAAATGGGAAGGCAGCAGATTTCAAAGAAGAGAGGAGAGGAGAATCAGAAACAAGCAGAGAAAACAGGGACAAAATACATACAGGTCATGCACTGTCCTTAATGATCCCCACCCCATAGTTCAGCCATTAATTATTTCAATATTTTCACAGACACACCTGGAAACATATACGTATGCTTTTTCTATCTAATTGTCTTGGAACTTCTGTCTCCCTGTCTCTTTTCATTATCCTGCTCACAGCACCCCTCCTCTCTTTCAGAAGTGTTTGGAGGTATAATTTTTAAATTTATTTTATTTATTATTGTGTGTGTGTGTGTACCATCAAATCGGATCTGACAGGTACAGGAGGAGATTGTCCCTCCTTCTCCAGCAGAGCATCTGGTGGATTTGAACCATGGTGGTATAATTCTAGCTTCCTTCTCTCAGGCCCCTCCAGAGTGGCAGCAGAAATAGCAGTTTCAGTACAGTTATGGAAGTGGTAGATGATAGTGAATTCAGAGGGGAGAAAAAAAGGATGTGAGGAAGGGATCATGGAGTTGGGACAGGCAAGGCTGAGAGGTACTCACAGAGGAAGTCGGAGAGCCACTCGGGCTGGTTGTAGTGAACAATAGCAACACACAGCGTGTTGAGGGCTACCAGACTGAGCACAGTCCAGTAGAAGGCCTGAGTTTTGACCATGCGACGGATGTAGAAACGCATCCTCCTCTCCTTTTTGTGGAAAAAAGTTGAGTTCTCCAGCTTGGCACTTTTAATGCTGGCTCGAGCGAATGGAGACCCTGTTGGGGAAGAATGAAGAACTTTAGAGTGTTACTGCAGAGGAAATGGGTCCACACATGGACTAGGCACTGACTGTGGCCAGGGGAGACCTTGAATCTGAGAGAGCCATCTCGAGCCATAGGCTTGGCTCTCCAGAGGTGGTGCTCATGAAAAGGCAAGGATCTGGAAAGTGAGAGTACTAGAAGTAACCAATGAGTATGCAGGGTCGCAATGGGGAGGCTGATGTCACTCAATGCAGGAGCCAACCTGCCATGTCTTCCCTTTCCAGTCATGTATATATAATTCTGGGATTGCTCTACAGGGCATGGTGAGGCAGGAGCCTCCTCACAGTGCACCTGTGCAGGAGCAGATGACAGAGCTTCACAGAGCATGTTGTGAATGCCTCTAGGAGGTGGTGTGGAAGTAGGAAGACAGGAAAAGAGTAGACATCTACTATTCCACGGACACTTTACTTTAGAAATAAAGATCAAGGACTGATCCAGATGCTCCCAATTTACTTTGTGTTCTTATCCCAGGCTCTGACTACACACACAGTTACTTGCAAGTCTTTACTGAGCACCTACTGTATGCTGTGTTATCTTATAGTACTTAGGAGACAGTAGGTAAAGAGTCCTGTCCTGAGATAGACACTCCAGAGGGGGAAGGCAGATAGCCAACAAGAGAAACAAATAAATTAACAGTGTGATGGAGAGTGAAAGTGCTATAGAAATCACAAAAAGTAGAGGAAGAACTTTCTTCTAAGTGGGACAGGGTTGGTCTGTCTGTCTGCTGTACTGAGATAAGTTGGGTTGCTGTGATACTGGATGCTGTGTCACTGGTGTGTCAAAGGCCATAATGGTTACCCATGGTGGACAGTGTTTGCTAGAGCTCAGAGATTAAAGACAGGCTTGGAAGGTGGATTGGCAGCAATGTCCTAAACAACATGGCTTTGGAAACTGTACGAACATTAGAGAAATGACTGTAGTTATAAAACAGGGTTCAAATCTTTTGTCATAGGGTTGCTACAAGTTGTACTTGATTTGATGGCACTTAACAACAACAACAGAGCAGACTAAGGGGGTTGGGAGCCCTGAAGGGACCACAGGATTAAGCTGAATGGTCAAAGCAGGTTGTTAATTGAGAAGATTCATAAGATGAGAGGCCAGTGGGCAGAGTCTACTCTAAGTGCAAAGGCTCTGAGGCAGGAATGTGCCTAGTGAATTCGGGGAACAGCCCAAAGAGGCCAGTGAGGCTGGAGGAGAGTGAGCAAGAGGGAAGGTGGGAGGAGGGGAAGGTGGGGAACTGATGGGAAGGTGATGCAGGGGCTGTAAGGTTGTAAGGAGGACTCAAGCTTTCACTCCAAGTGAGGTGGGAGCCACGGGGGTTCTGAGCAGAAGAGGAATGTACTCTGATCCAGGCGTGAGGGTCACTGAGGAGGGAGGGGGCGCAGGAGGACCAAGGAAGAGTGGGCAGCACTCTTGATGACATTGATGGGGCTGGTCCTGGGCAGTGGCTGAGAAGAGGGAAGGATGGATCTGGGTCTTACTGAATTAAGGCAGTTGCATCATTTCCTGACACAGCCTCCATGGCTGTGAGAAAGAGAGAGGAGCTAAGGTTTTTGGCCTGTGCACCTGCAGGGTAGAGCTGTCATTCACTGAGACAGAAGATGCAAGAGGGGCAGGCTTGGAGGACGGGTCAGAGCTCAGGTGTGGACCAGTTTAGTCCAATTGTTTTTTAGTTAATTCTGACTTATGTGTGTCAGAGAACTCGGCTCCACAGGATTTTCAATGGTTGATTTTTCAGAAGTAGGTCGCCAGGTCTTTCTAAAGTATCTCTCAAACCGCTGACCTCTTGTTTAGCAGCAGATAGCATTAACCATTGCACCAAACAGGGACTCCTCAGTTTTGGACAAGAATGAGTTTATCTTCTCCTCAAAAGCCTTCAATTGTGTTCATTTATGTGCTCACTCATCTATATTCAGTTAAACATTTGTTCATTCATTGCTTGATCATTCACTCATCACACCTTTGCTCATTTATTCGTTCCTTCCAATTCTCCATTCATTCATCATTTGCTTACTAAGTATCCAGTAATTCATCTGCTCATTTCTTTGTTCTTTCTTTCTTGCTTTCTCTTCTTCCACTAATCCATTCAGCACGCTCACTGAACCCACCTCACAACAGCAAGCATGTTGTTGATTGCCTTCGAGTTGAGCCCAAGTCATAGTGACCCTATAACAAAAGGCCTGAAGCCCCTCTACAACTATCGATGTTTATTGAAGTTCATAGAGTTTCTGGAGGCTTGTTATTTAGGAAGTGGATGCCACTCCTGCTTCCAAACCTGTCATAGTATGTTACTGTTGTTATGTGCCATTGAGTCACCTGCAATGTATAGCGACACGATGTACAGCAGCTCTGAACCCTTCCCTGTCCTGAGCCAGTCTCACTAATTCCGACACATCAACCCCTGTGGGGAATACGGCTCTAAAGGCAGCCTGTGACCTTGCAGGACACCACTTCCTTTTAGCAAAATTCTAACCATATTGGCACCCAAGGGCCACACTGGTTCATAAAGGTTTTGTGAAAGTGAGAGTTATTGGTCCACAGCTGAAAATGGGGAGAATAAAAACATGGATGTCAGCATCTCTTGGATGAAAGTAACAACTGACATTCAATGAGTAGCTAGCAGGCACAAGGCTCTGTGGGAAACAGTTTACCGGCTAAGGCCCCAATCCTTATCACATCCTGTGGTACAGGAGCCATCACAATGTCCTCACCAGCATGAAACACAAAACCAAACCCAGTCTGTTGCTGTCACGTTTCAACTCAGAGTCAGCTGATGAACACGTGATAAAGCTCAATCATTTACAAGTGATGACTTTGCTGTTAAAATACAGAAACCAAGTGCCATCAAGTCAGTTCTGACTTACGCAACCTGAAGGGTAGAGCAGAACTGCCCCACAGCCTTTCCAAGACCGTCGTCTTTACGAATGCAGGCTGCCTCTTCTTTCTCCTTTGGTTGATCCAAATCTCTGACCGAGCTTTAACCACAGCACCTCCAGGGCTCTTGTCCCCATCGTACGGCTCCCAAAACAAGTGAATAGGTCCAGGGATGGAAAATGTGTTGAGCTGGTACTTGAAGCCCGTGTTCTTGGTCAACTCTCCTGGACCAAGAGGCCATGTGAGAAAGTAAAAAGGGGACATTTCTACTGGCAGCAGCTGGCCATGCCTGGTGGCTGCAGCAGCCCCTCAACAGGAAGGTCCTCCTCTCAGGCCCACCATGCCCCATCCCACAGGCACTAGGGCCCTGAGGGGCTCTTCACGGGTCTTCCCAGTCAGGCACTTCCAGCCTCTGTCGGCAGCACAGGAACAAGGGCTTGTGAATGAGACTCTTGGAGGTTGGGGAGGGATGCTCCGGGGAAGAGGAGCTGACCACTGTCTGTAGCTGCTCTCTGACGCCCTCCCTCGCTGGAGCCACTCTGAGGACCTCAGCCGCACTGCCCACTGGTGAGTGGCCAGTTACTTTCCTCCTTGGGCTCATTATCTTCACGCATAAATTGGGGACAACTGTATTTCTTATATTCCAGGGATGCTGTGAGGAATAATTATGTTAAAACACCTCAGTACAAAGCCTAACACATAATATATACTGGAAACAATCTACTGTAGCTCAAGACAGAAATCAAGTTCAGGTGCGTCTCCTTGAGGATGCCTTTCCTGATCTCTACTTGTACCTTATTCACTGAAAGGGAGAGGGATGGTACCCGAGCACCTCCAACACGCCAGGCTCTGTGCTAGCCAGACACTGTCACTTTGGTTTATGGCAGAAGCTGCGGTGGCAAATAGTGACATAGATGTTGGGATGCTAACCGAAAGGTTGGTGGTTCAAATCCACCATCTACTCCTGAGGAGGAAAATGAGGCATTGGCTACCTGTAAAGATTTACAGCCTCAGTAACCTGACGGAGGGTGGCCAGGAGTCAGGATGGACTAGGACAGCATCTATCCTGACGATATTCAACTTTGGTTCCTTTGTTTTCCGAGCTGCCTCTTCTCTATCATAAATCTATCATCTATCTATCTATCTATCTATCTATCTATCTATCTATCTATCTATCTATCTATCATCTATCTATCTATCTATCATCTATCACAAACCTACCTTGAACCTAGGCACTTTAGTCTGGGGCAGGGTTTTGCACAGAAAAACCCCTTAATCGTCAGTCATGGCTCCCTGCAATGCCTCCTCCAGCCAGATCCCTGCCGAGGTTAGATTTACAAGGCCTCACAAGCAAAGCCTCTTTTGGATTCTTCACTGATTAAATTCTCGCTGCCTTGTTCAGCTTTTAGACCCCTCGTCACCACTCCCTACACTTCATCACTGTTGCTTTATTTTTTTAGATTGCATGGTCACCATAAGGAACCCCGGTGGTGCAGTGGTTAAGTGCTCCTAACCTAAAGGTTGTCGGTTCGAACCCATTAATCACTTCATGGGAGACAGATGTGACAGAGCTGGAATCAGATGGATAACAATAGGTCTTGTCACCCTACCAATCAAACTCACTCTGACTTCTGGTAAACCCCTGTGTTCAGAACAGAACTGTGTGCCAGTGTGTTTAAAAACAGATTACCAGGCCTTTCTAGTTCCTCTGGGTGAGACTGAACCATTAACCTTCTTGTTAAAGCCCTTAAGAATTTATAGCAGTCAGAGTTTCTGCTGTTTTAAATCAGCTTTATTTCATTTTCTTAAGGCTGTAATCCATATTAAGTATGTCGTGCTTCAATCAACATATTTAATATGTTGTTTGAAAAGCTGAACAATGACTGGGGGATGATAGAAGGAGAACTGATGCCTTTGAGCTGTGATGTTGGAGAAGAGTATTTTTTAAAATTTTTTAAAGTTTTAATTTCATTATTTTTTGTGTGTACCGTCAAATCAGATCTGACTGGTACAGGAGGAGATTGTTCCTCCTTCTCCAGTAGAGCATCTGGTGGATTTGAACCGTGCACCTCTGAGACTGTAGTTGCAGCTTCTTGCCACTAGGCCACCAGAGCTCGCCTGGAGAAGAGTATTGAATGTATACCATGGACTGACTAATAAGAGAACAAACAGTTTCATCCTGGAGAGGGTGAGACCAGGCTGCTCCTTGGAGGCAAGGATTCTGAAGCTTTGTCTGATATACTTTGGACATGCTGCAAGCAGGAATCAGTCCTTGGAGAGGGACATCATGCTTGGGAGAGTAGAGGGGCAGCACAAGAGGGGAAGACCCTCGATGAGATAAGACTGATATACTGACTCGGGTAATGGGGGTAGATGTGTCAGAGACAATAAGGCTGGCTTAGGATAGAATGGGGTTCAGAGTTGTTGCACATAAGGTTGATATGAGTGGTAAGCGACTTGACAGCACATAACAACATTTAATTTTCTGATTTCAAAGGTAATGTAGACCATGAATTCATATATTGGAGAAAAATGTAATACAGAAGGGGAAAATCCATTGTGATCTTCCAATTTCCACATCTTCTTTATGTAGATGTGGAATTTCTTAACATTATTTTAAAAAATGGCATCATATTGTACATAGCATTGTCTAACATCCTTTTTGTTGTGTTGTTGTGAGGTGCCGTCAAGTGGTCGACGACTCACAGTGACTCTATGAACGGAAGGCCTGAGCACTGTTCATAGAGTTTCTGGAGAAAAGCCATTTCGGAAGCGGATGCTACTCCTGCTTCCAAGCTTGTTTTAATCGGGAAGCTCCACCAAACACTGTCCACCATGGGTCTCAAACATCTTTCCCACCAGTGGTAATCTTGCTATTTTGCATCCCAGTGTAGACTATCTCCGCTCTGGGACAGGGAGTCTGGTTTTTTATTTGTTTAACTCTAGAAGCAAAGCTACTATACGAAGGGCTGGGACAGAGTAAAGCATAAACATCTGTTCTTAAATAAAGCCAAATTGCACACCGCACAAATTTACCCCCCTGTCGCCAGTGACTGAGAATGCTCCTTTCCCTCTGTCTTTGCTCCACTGGCTTTCATGACTTTCGCCTTTTCCAGGATGACTGATGAAAAGGGCTACCTTGTGTGCATGAAGGGCAACTTTCAGCAGAACTTCCAGACTCAGATGGACTAGGAAGTAAGGCTTGGTAGTACATTTCTGAAAATTAGCCAATGAAGACACTATGGATCATAGCGGCAAGTGCTGGAATGTCTACTATAGGCCCAGGGTGCTTTTTGTTCTCTGCACTATGAGTTAGGGGCTGACTCGGTGGCACCTAACATCAACAATAGCAATCTTGTTCTTTGAGGAGATCACAGTTTGAGTACCAAAGCATTTTCAATGACTAGCATTCAATAAATATGATATGAAAAAAGTTTGCTCATCAGTGTTAAAAAAAAAGTTCTACCCTAGAGAAATCATAACTGCCACCCAAGCAGATATATGTACACCCATGTTTATTGCGGCTTTATTCACAATAGGAAGGAGTTGGAAACAACCTAAGTGCCCATCAACAAATGAATGGATAGAGAAGCTGTGGTATATTCACACAATGGAATACTATGTTGCATTGAAAAATAAGGAACTCATGAAATATTATACAATATATAATATACAGGTGACCCTGGGGGACATTATGCTGAGTGAAGTATCTCAGTCACAAAAGGACAAATATTGCAATAGGACCACTGTTGTAAAACAGGACATCGGGCTTGAGGGAAGACTGAGAAAGAGGGGATAAATAATGTATACTGCATTGAAACAAATGAGGGAGAGAACTGTTTAAAAGTGATACATGATTAGGTATTATTGTCATGACAGGAGTCCAGAATGGAGGCTACACAGTGGAGTGGACTTGGGGGGAGGGACTGTAAAACAACGAAAGAATTTTCAAAGAGAAGAACAAATTGGGGGGAGGGGGTGGACAGGGATAAAAGTGCAACAATGAATGACTAGAAACCCCTAAGTTTCTGTAAACTTTCATGAAAATCAATAAAAAAGACCCCAACAAAACACATAAAGAGGGTAAAAACAAAAAGTTCAAAACCAAACCAAACCAAACCTGAAGCTGACATTTTGGGAAAATATGTCAACCAGACCTAGCTGACAAAATGCACAGAGCACTGATGGAATGTTCCAGTTCCTGACACGTGCTCAAAGAAGATAAACAGGTATCTTCTCCAATGGAAACAGAAACAGTTCATCGTGACAAGAACAAGCGTGTTTTGGCTAGAAATTAAAAATGCCAATTAAAACCAGCTTTAAGGTATTATTACACACCTACTTAACCGGGGAAAGAAATTAAAATTGGCAAAATGGAATGGCTGGGGTGGAATGCCATGAACGTATGTGCGCTTGGCAGGTTTATAAACGGGTTCAATGTTTCCAACACTCAGAATGGCTCTGTGAATAATGAGTTGAAAAGCTGTTAATATCTTTGATCCTATAATTATCCCCAAGGAAATACGCCCAAAGGGTGGGGGGAGTAATTGTACATAAATGTTCACAGCAGTGTGCTTCGCAAGAGCAGAGACTGGAAACAAACTCAAAAACCATGAAAGAGAGTAACAGCAAAACAAACTAGAGTGTCTCCACCTGCTACAGGGTATGTGATTGGGAGGAAAAGGAGGTCAAAACTCAGTGCTAGGTTTTAAAACTCATCCAGCAAAAAAAGGTATGTTTATATCACCACTTAAGCTCTGCCCCTTGTAACCACAGCAGCAGTGCGGGAAACAGCCTTCCACACAGTCTCTGCTCTCACTGCCCATGATGAACTCCTATTCACCCGACAGTTCTAGGCTTAATGCCACCTCCTCCGAGAAGCCCTCCCTTACCACGTCCCACTCCGCCAGGGCAGGCTAGAGCTCCTTGTTCCCCTCTGTAACACCATCATCATGACATGTCATGCATGAAACTGTCTCTTAATTAATCTACTTCCAACCCTGGACTGCAGGTTCCACCCGGGCAGGGATCTTTGTCTTGTTTACAGCTGGACACCTGGCAGAGTAAGCCCCTAATGAGTAACAAACGATGAAGATACTAGCCAGACTCATTAGTACCAATTGCCGCTGGCCCGTGATTTCTGTCCGAGTATAACTGCTCTCCGCAGGACTTTCTGTGGCTGATTCTTCAGAAATAGTTTGCCAGGTCTTTCCTCAGAGGTGTCCCTGGGTGGACTTGAACCTCCAACCTTTCGGTTAGCAGACAAGCATGCTAATAGCTTTTATCAGCCTACCTGAAGCACTTGCTGCAGAAGGTCAAGGACTACTACAGCCTTCAGTATGGACTGAAGCTCAACCTCAAGAAAACAAAGATTCTCACCACTGGGCTGATTGGCTGCATCATGATAGATGGTGAAGAGACTGAGGTTATTAACAGCTTTAGTTTGCTTGGTTCCACATCCGCACTCCTGGTAACAGCAGCCAGGAAATTAAAAGACAAATTGCATTGGGGAAGTCTGCTGTCAGAGACCTCTCCAAAGTACTGAAGAGCAATGGTGTCTGTCTGGAGACTAAGGTGCACCTGATTCAGGCCCTAGTCTTTGCAATGACTTGCTATGCATCAAAGAGCTGGACAATGACTAGGGATGATAGAAGAAGAATTGATGCCTTTGAGCTGTGGTGCTGGAGAAGTACTGAATATACCATGGAATGCTAGGAGAACAAACAGGTTCGTCTAGAGAGGGTGTGACCAAGGATTCTGAAGCTTCATGTGACACACTTAGGGCATGTTGCAAGGCGGGACCAGTCCTTGGAGAGGGACATCATGCTTGGGAGGGTGGAAGGTCAGTGCAGGAGAGGAAGACCCTCGATGAGATGGATTGATTCAGTGACTGGGTAATGGGGTAGGTGTGTCAGAGACAGTAAGATTGACACAGGATGGAGGAGGGTTTAGGGCTGTTGTACATACGGTCATAGGTCACTCGATGGCACATAATAATAATAATAATAATAATAATAATAGTGCTTATTCTCTGCCATGTACTGATCTGCATGGTTTGTGTCGATTAATCTTTACTATATTTGAAGATAGGGATTACTCCCACAATGATGTAACCTGACTCACAGCACACAGGCCGAAGGGGAGAAGCCGAGACACAAATCCAGGCAGCCTGGTTCCCCGTCCATGAGCCCCTTCATCTCTCGGGGACGATGACAAACGGGACGCAGAAGAGACTCACCCACAGAGGCGATATCGGCCAGCTGATCCTCAGCCTCCTCGGGGTTGAGCAGGTCTGTCTTGCTTTTCTTTATGGTGGCTCTCCGCAGAGCTCCAACAATGGAAACATGGCAAGAGAACAAGACGTTACCCTTTTTGCATAACGGTGACAGTCACGGGCTGTGTGTCCTGCACTGGGTGGGATGCCGAGCTCTTTTTTTTTTTAATTAGAAATCTAGCCCTTGAGACAATCTGGGGACAACTGGAATTTCCCCGCCAGAGAAAGATGGCCTATCTCCTTTTGTGTGATTTACAGTTTCAGAAACCCGATGGAAGACCAGCTATGAGTCGGTCCTGACTCTTACAGCAATGAGAATGAACGAATGAAACTGGGAAGCCCATTTTACAGGGGAGGAAACTGGAGATTTCAGTAATCGAGGAGATTACTGACTACATCCAAGGGGTGAAGTCCTGCTCAGTCTGATTCTGGTCTGGACTCAATCACTATTTTTCCTCTGGTCTATTTTATTATTTTGTGTATGTGTACAATCAAATCATATCTGATTGGTACAGGAGGAGATTGTCCCTCCTTCCCCAGCAGAGCATCTGGTGGATTCAAACCACAAACCTCTGGGACTGCAGTATAGCTTCTTGCCACTAGGCTACCAGAGCTCCGTTATTTTTCCTGTGTTCTGTTTTGAGCTTTTTCAGAAACTCCACCTCCTAGGAGGCCTGAGACTCATGAAAAACAGTCCACTCTCTTTACTACTATGTATGCTTGACAAACTGGGATCGGGGCACCTCCACTCCCCAGCACTCAGTGCTACTCTCAAAGGAGTTCTCCAGGGGACAAGTTCAAGTGTACACAGCTAATAAAATGCCTTAGACACTCCCAAGGATAATTCCTTCTCCAACAAAATAGTGAACTTCACCTTATAACCTGCTGAGATAGGATCCCAGTTCATTTATGTCCTTCAAATCCCCTGGATTTTCAGTCACAAGTCATTACTATCTAACCAGACAGTTCCCATTTTCCCTACTGTGTGAGAAGATAATTCCAAGCAATAAGATGCATATTTTAGAAAATTATTATTATTATTATTATTATTATTATTATTATTATTATTATTATTATATCATTCAGTGAGCATTTCTTTCTGGTCTATCTCTAAATGCAAAGAGACTTCTCTTTGGTTTTGGGAGCTCTTACAGTAATTCCTACAGAGTCTACCCTTTACTCGGACCCAAGGTCCTGGAAGGCTGGGTTTATGGACATACTTTAAACTCCTTCTCCCCATTCATATTCAGGGTCTGCTTTACAAAGCGGGCTGTTGGAAGGAAACTGGTTAAAGCTCCTAGGGAGCTCTGGTGGCCTAGTGGCAAGAAGCTGCACTGCAATCCCGGAGGTACGTGGGTTTGAATCCACTAGATGCTTTGCTGGAGAAGGAGGGACAATCTCCTCCTGTACCAGTCAGATCCAATTTGATGGCACACACACAAAATAATAAAAAAACTAAAGAAAAAAAAAGATTACACTCCAGAAGAAGTAATGTACATTTCCCATTAAAGTACTTTGGAATTATAACCTACGGGAGCCCCAAGCGTCATATCCTTCTCACCTCCAGAATTTTTAATCAAGAGTCCTTGCTCTGTCTAGACAAACGTCTAACATGAGAGATAATAGCCCTTAACAATGAGGTGGATTCAAGGTGGAACTAGGACTAGTATTTATTTAGTTGGCAAATACAAATGGTGCTGTGTGACCATAAGCATTGCATTAAGTATCCTAATGACTGATTCAATTCCCACCGTCAGTCAGTAAGGCCAAAACAGAAAAACCTCATTGCTGTCGAGTTGGAACTGACTCATAGCTGACCCTCCAGCGGGTTTTGGGAGGCTCTAAATCACAAAGGAGAAGATTATCCCCCTTTCCCCCCTTGAAGAGCTGCTGGCAGCTTCAAACCACCAGAGAGGTGTAACTCCTTACAGACCTCACCACCAGGAGTTCCCTGGTCAATAAGGAAGGTACTATTATTACTGTTATGATGCCCATTTTACAGATGAACAGAACTAAGGGACAGAGTTAAAGAAGTGAGACACATAATTTAGAAGAGAGACCAGAAAATGCAAACCCCCTCCTGAAGTCCTGATATTTCTCAGGAAAGCAGATTCTTGGTGCTCCCAGATAAACCGGATCTGACTCGGGCTCTCGTTCCTGGCATGACTTGGCCCCTTGCACACTCCCTAGAGGCCCCTAGAACCAGAAACCTCTCCTCTTGCCCCTTGGCTCCACCAATCCCATTTGCCCTGTGACCCACCACCTCCTAGGGCTCAGAGCAGTTACCATCAAACGGATGCCTCTGCTCTCCATCGGTTTCGTCCTCGGCGAGGATCACCTCTTCTGAGGAGGAAGAACACAGAGTTAAGCCCCAGCACCTGAAGGACTTTCCTGAGGATGGGGTCCCTGGGACAGGGAGTGAGAAGGGACCTTCCATGCTCTCGCCCTGCCACCCAGCCAATCCGGATACTCAGCCCCACCTCAAAACAGTAATAACACTGGATAGAATTACTTCCATGGGAAACTTCACTCCAGAAAAAGGCCATGGCTTATGAACCTGCTTGATCCACCTCCATCACCCACCTGCCTCTCCTCTCCCACAATGCCTCACCCACTCAACCCTACCCACATGGGGCTACTTGCTATGATGCTCCCACTACAGGCCCTTTGCACCTACAGCTCCTGCTGTCTGCAAAGTCCCTCTCCTAGACACCCACACATTTCATTATTTCCTTCCAGTCTCTTCTCAGCTGCCCCCTTCTCCCCTGTCTGGACTGCTCCCTCCAACCTTTCTGTCCTCTGCTTGCTTTAGTTTTCTTTTCAGAATTTGAAAGCACTCAGTGCTCTGTGTACTTGTTTACTTTCTGTCTTTGGCCAGAGAAGGTAAGTCTCCGAGGATACAAATTTGGCCTGTTTGCCTGCCCTCCTCCTCCTCACTGCTATACCCACGCTGTTGGCATACAGCAGGTGCTGCATACACGTTGACCGAGTGGCTGAACAAATACATGTATGTCTTCCGTGAATGACACTCTATGCTTCCTAAGACATCTGTCTTGGATTATTTGCATACTCACAATTGCCTTATAACTTGCTAGAGTAAATGTGTCATTATCCCCATTTGATGTATAAGAAAACTGAGGCACAGGGAGGCGAGGTACTTTGGCAGGAGGTACCAGAGGTGAATGTAAACCAATGCCTGATTTCTCAGCTCAAAACTGTGACGTTGTCCCCACCCTGGTGATCTGAATATCGTACTCTGATCCCTGTTGCTGAAAACTGAGACTATTCGTTTAGTCTCTCCTCCCACTGTGAGCGTCCCCTCATCCCTCTTCAAACTACAGGCAGGACCCTGGGATCTGGTCTGGGATTTCCATTCCTGGGCCCCTCAGTGAAAGGGTCTCACCTGCTTTCGAGATCCACTCCATGTACCCGTTGAGCTCTCGTTCAATCTGCTGCTGCCGCCTCAGCTTCAGAAAAGCCCGTCGGTTCTCTACCCGCTCCCTTTCTTTGGCAAACTCCCTGTAGAAGCACAGAATAAGTGCAGGACCCGGCAGCTAGGGTCTGGGTACGTGTGTATGTGGAGTTCAGAACTCCCTGGCGGGAAACAGTTTTCCACGAGAGGAGCCCGCCTTCAGGGAAGACATCAGAATCTTATAGAGGGGAAGAGCTCTGCCAGTTTCACACATTTCCCCTCAGTTGGCACCACGGTGGAAGAAAAAGGAAAATCAGATGTGAGGCCGGACAAGGTCACCGCCACTGGGGGCTTCCTTCATTTTCAATGTCTTCATGATACTAACACAGCTAAGTTTTACATCAAGTGGCAACATGCCCTAACTAAAAACACATTTCCACCTCTCTTTTAGGTTAGGCTGGGTTAAGTCGGTGAAATATAAGCTTTACTTCCCTGACAGAGGCCCCACTTCTTCCTAGTGCCCTTTCTCCTCTTGTTTGGAACATGGGATGGCTGTTTTGTGAACCTGAGGTAGCAGCCATGAAACTGGAAGCCTTTGGTAAGAACAGTGGGAAGCTAGATGAACTGGGGTTCTCTGGTCCAGAGTTCACCGGCATTTGGGCGTGCTTGGAATGGTAAAATACGGTAGGGCCCAAGGGCCTGTTTTTCCATTGTTTTTTGCCAAACCTTCTTCTAGGTCGTATAGCCCTGGTGTGTCCACTTGCTGTACAGAGGTAACTTGTGGTTGCTGTGAAGCGGAACACTGTGACACTGATGTGTCAAATACATTAATGGTTACCCACAGTGGACAGGTTGGGTGGTGCTCCCTGATTAAACTGCCATAATAGCTTGCCTCCAGAAACCCTATGAACCTAGAGGAAGGATGAAAGTCACACAAGTGTTGAGGACTGTCATTCACAGGGTTGCTATGAGTGGCCTACGACTCGACGGCACTTAACAACAGATGAATCTAGGGTTCCTGAGTTGTACCATGAAGCCATTGATCCAATCCTCATATTTCTTGTGACAGTGAAGTTCATTTATATGACTGTTATTGTTGCTGTGTCCCGTAGAATGGAAACCGACCCACAGCTGCCCCTCTGGTAGTTTTCAGAGGCAGTTAATCGCACAGGAGGAGACTGCTCATCGTTCTCCTGTGGAGCAGCTGGTGGCCTCGAACCGCGTGCCTTTGGGATTGCAGCACAGCTTCTTGTCACTAGGCCACCAGAGCTTGCTTAAAAAAAAAAAAATAAAAACTCTTGGGTGGCAGGGGAGAGAAGGACAATATATGTTATGAAAAGGCATGGCCAAGTCTGTGCTATCATTATGTTTGGAAACAGAAAGGAAATCCAACTTATTGTTTTGAAATGTTAAGTTACAGAAAACAAAGTTCTATAGAATCTTCTCACTGGGTGTGTTACGGGTCTAAAAAGCTTGAGAAAATCTTTTGCAGGAGTCTGTACTGGACAGAAGTTCCCCTTCCTCTGGATGGAGGGAGCCCGTAACCAGAGGCCTAGCTCAGAAAACGGAGTAGATTCCACCTCTGCATGTCTATTCCTGCCTGGGTGATCCTTGTGGTACACAATTTACACGACTGGATACGGCTTGCTAAGTGGATTACTCAGAGCAAGGGAAGGGCCCCTTCTCTAGCTGGTGAGTGAGAACAAAGCTTGGGTGGCATTTTTACGGGCAGCGGTTGGCAGAGTGAAGGGAGGCGGTTTGGGGGGGACTTACCCTGACAGCACACCCAGCACGAGGTTCAGCATAAAAAAGGAACCAATGATGATGAGGGGGATGAAGTACAACCAGTTCCAAGTGTTCCCTGAGGCATCGTTGCTCTGTGGGGGTGAGGAGGGAAAGCAGGTGAGACTCGAGGAGGGCTGAGGTGTGACTGCACAGGTGCTTCCGAAGGGCTCTGTCCTCACACGCCCTCTTCCTGTGGCGTCCCAGGGCTCTGGCAGCCCACAACAAATGGAGACCCAGAGGTTAAACCAGGCAGAGACGCAAAGACTCCCACCTTCCTGGCTGAGGTATCCTTACAGGACCGAGGGGCCAGCATGAAACAGAGGAGGAGATCTCAGACCAAAGTCCAGGTGGAACAGGACATATGCCACACTTAAATATATACACGAGCCTCTACTCACTCACTCACTCGCCCACCCACTCATAGTTTCTTTCTCATAGAGGAAGTACATGATTTCGGTGTCTGCTGATGGCCTAGTTAAATCACCAAGCCAGCCAGCAGGGCTGTGAGCGTTTTCCTCAAGTCTCCCTCCTCCTCCATGGCCTGAAAATACTCCCCAAAGTTACCAGGCCATTTTTCAACAGGACACTGTGGTGACTAGAGAGTTAGGGGAAGATGGGAAGAATATGAAAAACAAAACAGAGAGAAAGAGAAATGAGGCTCTAAAAAAATAATTAAAGATACACACTTACAAAGTGCCCTGATCTTTGACAAGCATTGTGG